TAAAAAATGTTTAAAAATTATTTATTTATTTGAAAGAGAGACAGAGTGAGAGAGAAAGAGAATCCCAAGCAGGCTCCATGCTCAGCACAGAGCCCAAAGTGGGGCTTGATCCCATGATCCTGGGATCGTGACCTGAGCTGAAATCAAGAGTTGAACACTCAGCCGAGCCACCCAGGTGCCCCTCATCTTTTTGTTTTTTTAAATAGTTTGGGTAAAACCTACATTGTGTGGATTGTACGCATGTAAATCCTTGGCCTGCTTGCCTTTACAGCCATTTATCACCCATCGCCTGCTCTGTGTCTGGGGGAACACTGCACACAGGCTCCGTGCTAGCCGCAAAAGTCTGGAGACTCCAGGTGAGAGGCTTCTCCTTCTCCCCCTCTGCCTCACATCCGCCCTAGAAGCCCTTTATCCCTTCCGTGGCTCAGCCCCCAGAAGGCCCGGTCCTAGCTTCCACCAGCATCGCAGTGGTACCAGCTGCCACCCCCAAATTGTGGGGTCACCATTTCCCAGAATTTAGCTTCGCCTGGTTTTAAGACACGGCGATTTCTGGTTTTCTGGTTGGGCCCTGACACTCCCTATCTGTTTCCCCGTCTCGCCTGCATGTCGATTTCTAATACCCAAACATGTGAAGTAACCACTCCCTGCTTCCCGGTCACAATAGAATTCTGGGTTTACAGAATTCTGCACTTAGAGACCTCACTTGTATAGGGGTTAAAACCACAGGCCCTGGGGGCGCCTGGCTGGCTCAGTCGGTAAAACATGTGATTCTCGATCTCGGGGTTGTGAGTTCACGCCTGACATTGGGTGTAGAGATTACTTAAAAATAAAATTGTAAAAATAAATAAATAAATAAATAAATAAACAAACAAACAAAACCACAGGCCTGGCATGAGCTGGACCTGGTGTTAACTGGTAGCTCCTTGGTCACTTGCTAGCTATGGATGTATGCTCGGTTTTCTCATCTATGACGCGGAGAGGATACTTTTTCTATTTCATATGCTTATGACAATATAGAGTAATGTGTCCAATGTACTCAGGACAGTATTTACACACTGTAAGTGTTCTGTAAAGGAAGCAATTACTCTTGTTGGGAGTTCGGGAACCCACTGTGAAGTGAGGACAAGCTGGGGTTTCATCCTCAGAGGGCTTGTTAAAACCATGTCATTCATTTGTGGGGTCAGGATGTACTGGGCTGAAAGGAGATATGATGTGGTACACACCTCATTCTTGGCCCTCTTGTCCATCATTCTTTTTTTTTTAATGTTTAAAAATTTTTTTTAATGTTTTTATTTATTTCTGAGAGAGAGAGAGACAGTGTGAGCAGGGGAGGGTCAGAGAGAGAGGGAGACACAGAACCTGAAACAGGCTCCAGGCTCTGAGCTGGCTGTCAGCACAGAGCTGGATGCGGGGCTTGAACCCACAAACCATGAGATCATGACCTGAGCCGAAGTCGGATGCTTAACCGACTGAGCCACCCAGGCGCCCCAGTGTTTATTTATTTTTAAGAGAGAGAGGGAGAGAGAGTGGGGAGGGGCAGAGAGAGGGAGACACAGAATCCGAAGCAGGCTCCAAGCTCTGAGCTGTCAGCACAGAGCCCCGGAGTGCGGTTCCAAATCACAAACTGCAGGATCATGACCTGAGCCAAAGTTGGACACCCAACCGATTGGGCCACCCAGGCGTCCCATGTTGTCCATCATTCTGGAGTAAGATATAACAAGGTAAGAGTGAGCTTGGCGTTATAAACGTTCATTGGTGGATCCATTCTCTTGCTTTGAGGCCCGAATCTTAGGATTGGATAGATGAAGAGAGCTTGCATTGGAGACAAGGCTTAGTGACTCCTGCCCTCTTTCTATTCTGAAAGGTCAGAATAATTCCCAACACCTTCCTAAAACTTTTCCCGATGATTTCAAACAAATTGTGCTCGTGGTGGCATACATCTAATCTCCAGGCCCCCGACCAGAGTTGCACAAAGACCTCCCCCAGGCTCTTTTCCCGGGGACGCCTGCCAGGCAGCCAGTGCCAGGAAGCCCGTGCCACTCGCGGTTCGCAGGAGCACTCCAAGCACCGTGAAGGCCGCCGAGGCTGCACCTTTCTTTGGCTTCAGACCGGTTTCATTAACAAGCATGTTCACACTTCAACTGGAACATTTAAAATAACACCCGCACAATGTGTTTAGTGTCTAGTTAATTATTAACTCCCTGAGCTTGAATTATTCAAGCAAAATTGATTGCGTTCAACCTTCTTCCTTCTCTTTGTGCCTTTTTTTTTTTTTTTTAAGTAAGAATAAGTCCTCCCCTTTACTCTCTAAACAACGTGGAAAAGGTTATTAAGCAACCATCAATACCCTGGACTGTGGGTGGTACCCAAGTGCTAACAGAATAGGGAGAGACGACTGGCAGCTTGAGTCTTTTGTTCAAAAAAAAAATCTGTATCTCGTACACTTCCATTGTTAATTAGCATTTATAAAGGCTGAACATTTTAAAAGTTCTCTCTTTTAAATTCTTTCTTATAGTTATCTACAAGTTGGGTGAGTAGGCATCTTGGAGTCATTTCTTAAAAAAATGTTTATTTATTTATTTTTTGAGAGAGAGAGAGAGAGAGAGCGAGCGAGCGAGCGGAGAAGGGGCAGAGAGGAAGACACAGAATCCGAAGCAGGCTCCAGGCTCTGAGCTGTCAGCACAGAGCCCGACATGGGGCTCGAACCCACAAACTGTGAGATCATGACCTCAGAGGAAGTTGGATGCTTAACAGACTGACCCACCCACACGCCCCTCTTTCTTTGCTAGTTCAAATGAGGGTGTTAAAATGTCTTGGCTGCACTATTAAAACCCATTTTGTTGAAGAACATTCCTTGCCCTAAAGAGATGTTTACAGTATATTGCTAAGTGAAAAGACAAGGCTATAAAACTGTCTTTGAGTGTGTATCATTTTTGTTAAATGCATGGATAGAAGACCTGAATAATAAACACCAAAATATTATCTGTGTTAGGATTAAACAGTTCATTTTTGCCTTTCTATTACTTTTATAACCAGACAACACACACGTACAAAGATGTCATGGCTAGAAATGATTGATCTTTTGTCTAAGTATCACCCGTATCAACAGTAGGAGAGATAACGCCCTCCTACTTAAGTCAGGCAAGTGTAGACTTGGCACGCGTAGATTTTACACAAAATTCATAGTGTTTTGTGAATCCCAGCAACTTGAATAATTTCTAGTAGCCTTTGTTTCTTAGGCTTCATTTCTAGTTGTTCCTCAGCTTCCATATTATTGACATGTAAAAAAGATGCCATTGTGGGCACTAACATAGAAAACATTACTGGCCCAAGGGCACAGGCAAGGGAGAGAAAATAATTGTGTTTTGGAGAAAAGTTATAAAGGCGATGGCCATTTTGAGAGGAAATGACAGAAACGCAGTGACCCAGTTTGGTGATACATTTCAATGTGGGACCTTCCATGAGAAATTTGTAAACAGAGCTCTCCTAAAACCAAGACTGGAAAAAACCGGGAAGGCCCCAAATGCCTAAAAGCATCAGGGACGGTAGCTTCTGAACTTGCCCCTGCTACCCAGCTTCTGCAGCGCCCCAGGGCCACACGTGTGCTGGCGCGTGCGCGCGCGCACAGGGGCCGCGGGTTCGAAGCCGGCCGAGCACCGTGGGGACTCCAGCACCGCCTGAACGCCCGCAGGTGGTAACCTTGGCTGAGGATGCACGGGCGGCAGCCGGAGTGGTTCCGGGGGAGGGGCCCGGAGCTCCGCGGAGGGAAACTTTCGGGACTGGAGATGGGCATCCTGCCCTTGGCACACACACGCTCCCGATACGGACGCTAGCGCACACGGGTCCATCACTGCATTTGTCCTGGGAATGACACACGAAGCGGTGTAATTAGACACCCAGGGAATTGCCATCCGGTTCAGCTCGGGATCCGCATTTGGGGAGGGCGGGTGGTGCGCAGGTAAGGGGCGCTGAGAGGGGCACGTCCTCGGCAAGGCGGGGGACCCCCGGCGGCGGCTCCTGCCCCTTCCCCCCTCCTCCCGGAGCAAGAGTGCAGGGCAGGTGGTGCTCAGCGGGCGCCGAGCGAGGCCCGCTCGCCGTCCGCATCAGAGGCCTCCGCGGGTCCTCCAGCATCCCTGCGTTCCACATCGCGGCGGCCGCGGCCCCGCCGGGAGGGCTGGGTGCAGCCGCCCGCACCCCGGCCCCACGCCCCGCCTGGGCCTCGGCTCCGCTCCGCGCAGCTCGGGGACCGGCCCCTCTGGGCCCGGCGGGCTCGGGCGGGGGCGGGGGCGGGGGCGGGGGCGGGGCGGTGCGGGCGCGCGGCCGGGCCGCCATATTGGATCCGGGGGCGCGCGCGCGCGCGCGCGCGCGGCGGGGGCTGGGGGGGAGCCTGGCAGAGCCCAGGGCGCGAGCGCGCCAGGCCGGGAAGGCGGGGGAGGGGTGGGACGGAGAGGAAGGGAGTGGCTGCGAGCCGGGCTGCCGCAGCCTCCGCGCTCCTCACCCGCGGCGCCGACCCCTCCTCCCGCGCCCGGTCGTGGGGAAGATGCCCTTAGCCCCGGGGCGTGAAGAAGGGGGAGACCGCGTCCTGTGAATCCAGAACCACCCCCCCCGCCCCCGCCCCGCTCCAGGGCGTCGGGAGCCTCCGGGGCGGCCGCCGGGCGGCCGAGGGGGGCGGGGGAGAGCGGCTGTCCGCCCCGCGCGGCGCAGGCCCCCGGCCGGCGACCCCCCGCCATGGGGCGGGCGCGGGCGGCCGAGTAGCCGCAGCCCCCGGAGCCGGGTCGGGCGCCGCCGCAGCCCGCGCTCCCGGCCCGGCCGCGCCGCGCGTCAGGCCCCGGCGGACGCCGCGAGGAAAATGAGGAGTGTCGCCCGGAATCCGCGGGAGAGCGGACTCGCCGCAGCGCCCTGACGAGGGGGCCGCCGGGAGGAGGGAGGAAACGCGTCCTCCGGGAAGGGCCGGGCGGGCGGCGCGCCGAGGGGGCTGCCCCGCGGACCCCGCCGCCGGGCCGCTCTGCCCGCGGCGCTCGCCGAGCCGTTGCGGCGGCGGCGCTGCCTTGGCCTCCGCCGCGTACCTTCTGGGGGCTTCCTCCCCTTGCCGTTGTCCTGCTTCCCGGGGAGCGGAGTGCTGGTGCCCATCGGACCTGATCCATTAATGATGCGGCCGGACTCGCTGCGGGATTGTGTTGCACGAGTTGAATTTTGAATGAAGGCGAAGAGTTGTGTTTTCTTTTCTTTAAAAAAAAAATTTTTTTTTTTTTTTTAAGAAGTCTGGACTCTTGGGTTCGGTGTACTTGGAATGACTCTCGGATTGAAGCCTGCGACTGAACTGTGCTCTTCTGGGTAAAAACAGAAAACGATGCACGGAAGCCCTGGTTTATGGTAACTCGCCCCGCGGAGCCGTGTGCGCGCGCGCGCGGGGTCGCAGACGCTCCGGGCCGGCGGGCTCCCCGGCCGGGCGGGGGTCGCGCGGCGGCGGCGGCCCGGCCTGACAGCTGCGCGGGGGACGAGACCCGCCGCCTGCCGAGCTCCGGCCCGGGGCCGCCGCGCGCCCAGCGCGCCAGTGACCGAGGGGAGGCGCGGCCGACGTGGGCGCAAACATGTCCGGAGAGGTGCGCCTGCGGCAGCTGGAGCAGTTCATCCTGGACGGGCCCGCGCAGACCAACGGGCAGTGCTTCAGCGTCGAGACGCTGCTGGACATCCTCATCTGCCTGTATGATGAGTGCAACAACTCTCCGCTCCGAAGGGAGAAGAACATTCTCGAATACCTGGAGTGGGGTGAGTGTGCCCGCGTGCCTCCGCTCCCCTTTCGTTGGGCATTGGTGGTTTGAGTGCTGCGGGGAGTTCGCGCGAGTGAGCGGGGGTTGCGATCAGCTGGCCATGGGGCGTCCGTGTAACGTGTGTGTTAAACGCATCGCGGGCCCGGAACGTGTGTTTAAGTTAGATGTGCCTCAGGGGAACGGATCCCGCTGACTCGAGATTTTTTTTTTTTTAATGGTTTTTGGTAGATGTCCCACGAGTAAAAACCGTGCTCTCGCCTGGTTGCTTTGATTTCATGTGGCGTTGGGGAGGACTGACTTACGTTTTTAGGTCAACGGCAAGAGATTTTTGAATCATTCTGTGATGAGCCAAGTGGCTTATTGCTCACGGTTGCCCACAGCATGGCGGGATCACGCACACTCAGTTGGAAGGTGTTTGTTGGGGGGACGCATTCCTTCCCAGACTCTGGAAGTCACTCTTGAATTGGGCGGGGATATGGAAATCATCTTCGGGCCACGGGAACTTGAAGGTGGCGGCCCCTGGGTTTTAGTTCATCTCCTCGTGGCGCTTAGCGGAGGAAACTGCTCATCATGGACCTTCCAGAAACTGTCATGTTTGGAAGACAGCATGACATACTAGTTAAAACATTCTGTGATAGTACTTGGTGGGGAATGTTTAGGAACAGCTCCCACTCGAGGGCTAGACGGACTGTAAATTTAATTCGGGTCTGAACCGGCTAGACGTTTGTCTCCGTTCCCCAGACTATAGAGACAGGACTCGGAGGAGGAAGACCTACTGTGGCGGAGTAGATGGGCGAGGAGCGCGGACGCTCCATGTGACCTTCAAGCTGGGGGGGCTCGGCTGCAGTTCCGCCTCGCGTGTCACGTGCGCGCACGTCGCACCCCAGCGGCTCGCTGCTGGGAGAGTGAACCCCCCCACCCCACACCTGCCCAGAGGGGCGTTGGCTCGGAAAGTGGGTCGTACCTGTGGATACTAACACTTTTCGTTTGTTGGCAGGTGTTTATCTTAAAATGCCTTCCCAAGCAGAGCTTTAGTTTCTCGAAGTGCAAGTCAGGTGGTGATTATTTCGTGGATTGACTGATAGAGTTTCGGTTTGAAATTGATTAAAAATTAGTTTGTCAGGGAAATCCCTCCTAGGCCGTATAATGGCCTATCCATAATGTGTTCCGCTTGGCCAGGATCAGAAGTTTTCTAGCAGCTTCAGGGCATGAGGTGTTGAAAACGTGTGTGTGTGTTTATGAACGTGAACGGGATTTTTACAGACAAACCACTAGGCTCACGCTGGGGATGTACGAATTCGAAACGATCTTTCCTCCTAAGAGTGACACCATTTTGATTGATTTTGGTGCTGGTTTTGTGTGTCCTTTATTTTTATGTGTAGGGTAAAATATTGTATAACGCATACGTGGTTTTCCATTCCATGTGTCATAAATGTAGGGATTTTCTTACTGTTTCTTTTGAAAATTCAGAGAAATGGGCTAGGTACTTCTACCAGAGTTTCCGTTCTTGGATTGTGGTTCTACAGCGACAGTCTTGTCAATGATCATCATTTACTATCCTTTCTCATCTATGAAATGGTGGGAGATCTCTATGCACCAGTAATAAATACAAGTTTAAAAATACAATAAAAGAGAAAATCGTATCCTGAATTGCCTTTTGATTATTAAGAGTTTACATAGTAGTTTTATGGAAGAAGATACTTTGCTGTTTGGCCAGAATAATTTACGTATATTTTTCACTAAGTATGTTTTCTCGAACTTTGTTTTTTATAGCTTTACTAAAAAAAATCCTTGCTATGCGTATTTAGTTTAAGCCACGTAAGCCAAAATCAAATAGGTATTTGGCCACATTTATTTTTATTAATGTATTTTAAGTAATTTCAAACCACGGATTTTGCACAGTTTAAAGTAGGTTAAGTTTTAGTGGTATCGTTCATATTTTGTCTTTTTAGAAGTCAGACATGACATGTCAGAAATGGACAGTCTCATGTAAATTCATATTCTTTTTCTTAGGAATTGAAAAAAAGACTAGAATTTTTAGGGACTTACTTTGTACGATGTGGGGCGAGGCAGTGTCTGTTCAGGCATTTTTAAGATAGATAATGAGGTGTTGAAGGTGGCAGTTATCCACCATAGAAGGTTGGGAAAGGACTAAGAAAAAGTTGAGAATGGAGAAGCTGTCGAGATGTGTCTTAAGTAGTAGTGCTATTTTTAAGTTATTTGAGAATTTGCGTTAAGAATGCCAGTCTGCTCTCTCCAGTTAAGAATTGATGTGGACCAGCTGTTGGGTCTCAATTCATGACTACCTTTTGGGGAAATGGCCTATTTTATTCTTACTATCTAACATTGTATAAAAAATGGATCAAGGAAGTTGCCAGATAGTGAAATGACCTCAATATAATTTCTTGGACATTACTTTTTTGGTCTGTGTTGGAAATTTATAGGGATTGTTTGTTGGGCTTAAATATGATAGTTATGATTTGCGTTAAACGGTACAGTTTTCAGTTTGATTTTTATTTTTTAAAAAATTTTTAATGTTTTATTTATTTCTGAGAGAGAGAGATAGAGACAGAGACAGCGTGAGCAGGGGAGGGTCAGAGAGAGAGGGAGATACAGAATCTGAAACAGACTCCAGGCTCTGAGCTAGCTGTCAGCACAGAGCCTGACACGGGGCTCGAACCCACGAACCATGAGATCGTGACCTGAGCCGAAGTCGGACGCTTAACCGACTGAGCCACTCAGGCGCCCCCAGTTTGATTTTTTTAGAAGACTCAGTATTTGCAGCAGTAGAGCAGCACTAGTTAAGTAGTCTGTATTACATGCTGGGGATATGCGTGTTTGGCTGTTGACATGAATGAACGAGTCATCTGGTTATGCCTTATTTTCATGCTGAAGATAGGCTACTTGAAAAAATGGGAGTCAGCCAAGACTATCTGTCTGCCTTTCTTCATTTCCATCAGTTTCACTTTACTCCTGGGTGGGGTCCATTTCACTTTTATTATCCGTACTGTTAATGTTTTGTTCATTACAGTATCACAACAAGAAAACTGACAAGTCACTCAGGTACTTTTTTTTTTTTTTTTTGCAGGGGGAGGACAGCGTTCCTTACTCTTGCTGATGTCTTGAGGGAGGAAATGAGTAGAGTTTAGAGAGGAAGAGGGAATGAAGGCCATGAGCAAGAGAACAAGGGGATAAGCGTGCCTTAGGCTCTATAGACTGCTTACATTTAATGAGATATTTTCCAGTTATATCCAATAAGATTAGAAGGACTTGTTTTGTGTCCTTGTTTTTCAACTGCCGAAATGATAAGAGGTTTGTGTTTGTTTATAAAATAATTGCTTGATATCACTAGTGTAACTCTAGAATAATTTATAGAATTGTAGAAGTAAAAGTAACATTTGTATTATAAACTAATTTGCTATCAGTGACTACATGAGCACACTGTTCATTGAATTGGCTACCTCTCCTTTGAAATGGGAAATTGGAATTTTAGGGACTTCTTTACCAAATTACTCAAGACACAGATGTAAGATAATGTTAACACAGAAGAAGCACGCAAGGCTGTGTGTGGATAACTGTTCTTTGATGCTTTCTGAATCACGTACTTTGTAATCTCATTTAAGTTATCCTTAATAATAATTTTATAGGTTAGTTAGTATATGCATACGCATACATCTAAATGATCAATAATAAACTTGTTACTCGAGCACTTCAGCAGGTCCTGGGGTTTAAACATTTGCTTTCATTGGGGGTAGTTTTAAATCTTAGTCAGGTCTTTTCACATGTGGGTAAATTAACTGAGGTGACGAGGGCTTGGTTAGAAGGATCTGAGTCTTTTCTAGAATACTTTGTTCTTCACTTCAGCTGTCGCTCCTTAGCTGTGGGTTAGCAGAATTTGTCACACTGAACTATCAAAATGTTTGTGTGATACACATGATTAAGCTTGTTTTATTTAAAGCCCTTAGGATTATCACAAATGTCATCAGAAATACGAGTTGGGCCCTTATTTCCTTTATACTAGCCAATAAATTTAGTCTTATTCTAAGAACGATACTATAAATTTTTGATCTAAACAATGCTGTTACAGTAGGTGGGGTCTATTTTTCTATTTCTCTCTTTTCTGTTTCTTTTTAAAAAAGAAATGTAATTATCATACACTGTTAATGTTAGTTTCAGGTGTGCCATACAGTGATTCAACAATTCTGTACAGTAGTCAGTGCTCAGGATAAATGGACCCTTAAGCCCTTTTTCTGTTTCACCCCATCCGTCCCCTCTCTGGCAACCACCAGTTTGTTCTGTGTTTAAGAGTCTGTTTTTTTGTTTGTGTTTGCCTTTGTTCATCTGTTTTGTTTCTTAAATTCCATATATGAGTGAAATCATATGGTATTGTGTCTCTTTTTAAAAAATATATATTGCTTTGTGAGTGAGAATGGGGATGTTAGGATTACCACTTAAAGAATTCTAGGAATTTATTTTTCCTATGGAAACATAAGGCATACCTTAGCATCGCAGTGTAAAAACAAATAGTATAATGTTGGCAATTTTGTGAACCATTTCCTAATTCCTGGGACTTGATTAATAGTACAGAGAAAGCTCAGGCTCTTCTAGGGTAAAGGAACCAAACTTGGTACAAATTAATATTGTGATACACTACACTTCAGTTTGGCAGTTAATTTCTTTGAAACCTTTTATCTTTTGGTACATTTACTGCCAGTATGTTGTGTCTGTAGCTCATTGTGTTTCATCCTCTTGTTTTGATAGCTTTTAAAATCAATTTACTGAGTCCAATGAGCATTTAAGAAATTAAACAGGCCAGAATTGAGACTATCAAGTACATCATGTTTAGAAAGAATAAGTATTTGCATCTAAAACTCTTGTGTTTTCCTGTATTTCTACTGTAGATTGGGATCAAAAGAGTTTGAAACTCTAGTGTAGATTGAAGCTAATATATGTTGACTAACAGCAAAAAGATTATAGACATAGTTCCTTTTTTCAGGA